GGATATACTATCTAAAAATCATGGCTCATGAGATTCTGAAATAAAAGCACTTTCGCATCTTTAAACAAGTCTATACATTTTTGTATTGGTTGGGGATAGAATGCATGGCCTCTTACATTAGTAGAGGATTTGTTAGTAAGCTCAAGAGCTCCACTTGGTGGGATGATGGTGGCAAATCCAACTAGAATAAGGTTTGTTTGGTAGAATCCATATTGTCTGTTGGGTTGAATCCGTTGTAGAGGAAATCAATGGATTGAGAAGGCACAACATTATCAAAAAGGAGGGAGAGAAGAAGAGCTACGTAAATGGGAGTGGCCATGGAGTTTATAAACCTACTCTTGGGGTTATGAGATCAAGCATTGATTCTCAATCCAAAGGGACCTTGCTACACCATCCTGTTTCAGTTCTTAAGTGGCCATTCGTGCACGCACTGAAAAAATATATTAAGAACTAGGTATTGGTCGCGCTGCTAGTGCATCATTTTGCAATACCGCCCATAGTTTCATATTGGTCTAAAGGATTATATGCATTACTTTCTTTCCCTGCTCCAATCAAGCTATAAGCTGCTGAAGGATCTCACTGCTAATTAAGTAACCTAGCTTCAAGTAGTACTTGAATAGCCAAGGGTCTTTTAACATGCAACTTAAAAGCTTGGAACCAGGAAAGAATTTGTGGAGGGAAACACTAAGAATCACCTGAGTAAAATGGTTGCGAGGAATCAAGGAAAGATGGGCTGGCGAGTGGCTGCATTTGAGGAACAGAGGGCCTTCTTGCAGCCAATTGTTAGTCCGGAGGAGAGTTTCTGAACCATTTTTATCCATGCTTTTGATTAAGAAGGGCATTGCTAAGGAACAGCTTCAACTTCTTCTCCAACTGAACTTTAATCTCCCATGGCACTTTAAAACCAAACAACCAATGATACAAATAGGAATATAACACTGATTTAATCAATTCAATTCTACCTGCCGAAGACAAATTAATAGTATTCCAATGTGCTAATCTGTTGTTCACTTTATCCAACAGGCTTTTGAAATCTCCAGTTCTTAACTTGTGATCAGAAAGAGGTAACCCAAGATATTTGAAAGGAAATGATTCTGTTTGGAAAAGCAGAATGGAAGACAGTCTTCTTCTACCCCTCACAGACTTGGAAAAAATAATGGAGCTCGTCTTTGTTTACCTGAAGCCCAGTCACCTCTTTGAACTTTTGAAACGCTTCTTCCACTGCTTTTGCTGTAGAAATCTCAGCCTCGACCACCAAAATAAGATCATCAGCGTAGAAAACATGAGAAATCTTCATCCCTGAACTCAGCACAGCCTTACAGAGCTTGATGCTCCCCATATCAATATAATTATTCATTAGAGTGCTGAAGTATTCAGTTACAAAAGAAAACAACAAAGGAGACAGAGGACATCCCTGTCTAATCCCTTTAGCAGCAGTAAAGTATCCAGCAGGCACACCATTACACAACACAGAGAATTTAGGAGAAGATATACATGCTTTAATCCAATTAATCCATTTCCCACTGAAACCATGAATCTGCAACCTTGATAAAATAAACCCCCAGTCCACTGAATCATAGGCCTTCTTCAAATCAATCTTCAGAGTCATATTAGGATCTCCATATTTCTTGCCAAAATCCTTGACCAAATTAAGCCTCATCTTCCACATTATAAACTAATGGAAGTTCTACATAATTTATATAATACATATGCCTAACAATGCCTTTTTTCCATCTATTTAGGGTCAGCATTTTATATAAATAGATATACAAACCATGATAGTATTCTGTTCTTTAAAAATAAATGTGATTTTAAATGTTACAAGAGAAATAAATTATTATTGCTATACTATCAATAGAGTATATAGTTTTGTTGATTGCTTGATTGAAAGTAGAAATAGAATTTCCTTTATGGGCTAACTTTGCTTCTTGGTCATAATGATTATGAGTGTCTTGCCGGCCATCTATAAGATTAGCTTTGGTCAGATATATCTTAGTAAGCCAATGATGTCAGATGGAGAAACTGTGACTTTGTTTCCGAAGGCAGCGAGATTGAGGAATCTAACATACTCAGCTCCGTTGTATGTGAATGTCACTAAGAGAGTGATAAAGAAAGGGCATGATGGTGAAGAAGTAACTGAAACTCAAGATTTTACTAAAATCTTCATTGGGAAGGTATGTGAATTGGATTCCGAACTGATGAAAGTTAGATATCTTGGAATAGGCTCTTATGCCTCTTTGTTGTCCTTCAGTCTGCTTCTTTTTTGCCATATACTTTAGGTTCCTATAATGCTCCGGTCGAGTTACTGCACATTATATCAGAATTCAGAGAAGGATTTGACGGAGCTGGGAGAGTGTCCATATGATCAAGGTGGGTATTAGATGAGCACCAATCACGTCTGTGTTTAAGAAGAGGCAGCCAAACAAGTATGCCTATGTGGCGGAAGTCCGATCAATGGTGGACTCCCAGAACAGGCCACCCAGTAGCATTTTTGTGTGGATGCTTTCGCAGACTAGTGCCAAAGGGGTAATGGGCATTAAATATGGTGTTTAGGGGTGTTTTTTGGAGCACATTTTTTTTTTTTTTGCCTTTTGAATTCTTATGGAATTTATGAATTTTTTGTTGTTTTTGGGTATGCTATGTAACTGCAGGGCTCCTACCCTTCCGTACATTCGGACTGAGATTCCTATTATTATTGTGTTTCAGGCATTAGGATTTGTTGCTGACAAAGATGTATTAGAGTATATTTGCTATGAGTTCTCTGACACTCACGGAGTTGCTACGACCCTCCTTGGAAGAAGCATTTGTAATATAAAATCAACAGGTAACTCTCCCACTGTATTATACCATCATTTAATTTTTTTTTTTATCTGTTATCCTTTTTTTATTTTTTATTTTTAACGGGTAGTTAGTGTGAGATTAGCTTTTCTTTCTGGTTTTCTCTGTATTGAATAAGCTAAACTTCAAACAATATGAATAAATATAGCGTTTCATGTTTCCAATATGAACTAAACATAGTCTTTGGGCTTGCTGGCATTTAAATTGTTTTTACCAAGTAATGTCCTTTCAGTTCTAATTCATATTTGATTTTTTAGCAGCTTCAATATCTTTGTTTAGGTTTCAGCTCTTGTTTCTAAGATTGCAAATTCAGTTTCATTTAAATAAATTAATTCATTTTGGGACTTAATCTGTATATGTTATTGTAAATGTTAGCATCCATTTGATTTCTTCTCTCTCTTTTCTTTTCTTTTCATTTTTTTTTCTCGCTTTTCTTGTGGTGATGTGGCAGTGCGGCCTTACTGAGATGGTTATGCTTTTCTTCCTGTATTGCAGGTTGCACTGTACTACATCGGGAAATGAGGGGCCACTGTTGGTGTCACAAATGAAAAGAGGATTAAGTATGTGTTATGATTGCTGGCTGTGGCTATACACGAGTGTAAAGCTATCTTTTGTGCTTCTTTTTTTGTTTAAGGAGAGTCTCCTGTTCATTTACTTCGTAGGTATGCCAAAGAGATCCTCCAAAAGGAAATGCTTCCTCATGTTGCTGTAGGAGAGTATTGTGAGACAAAGAAAGCTTACTATTTTGGGTAGGTTTTGTCTAATTTGAATATGTTCCTTTTTTGTGGCTTCTTAGTGATTTAGAGAGACATTAATTGCTTTTCTACCAGATATATTATTCACCGGCTTCTGCTATGTGCAATTGGACGAAGGGCGGAGGATGATAGGGATCACTATGGCAATAAGAGACTCGATCTTGCTGGTCCTTTGCTTGGTGGCCTCTTTCGAATGGTTTGTCGTTGCTTTAATATTTTGGAGCTTCTGTGACCATTTGAAAGTCCTTGATTTTCATTTGGGTTTTCAAAGATTTTGGGTTTCTAAAGTTTTGGTGGTTGTTAATATTACTGCAGCTATTCAGAAAGTTAACAAGGGATGTGAGAGCTTATGTTCAGAAGGTTATTTTACATACCGAGTCTTTTATATAGTATATATTTGATGCTTTGGTTGGTGCTTGAATGTATATAATTTTGTGCATCGTGCAGAGTGTTGACAATGGGAAGGATGTTTAATCTGCAATTTGCAATTAAAGCGAAACCAATTACTAGTGGCCTTAAATACTCGCTACTGGGAACCGGGGACAGGCAAATGCAGCCGGTGAATGTGCAGTATCATTTTTAAAATGTTATGCGATTTTTATAGTTGTTAAATCGTATGCCTCCACTTTGTCGCACTTGTGAAGATTGAATTCTCCAATAGGGCGAGAAGGTATTTTAGTTTTCTCTGTCAGTGTTTGTTCAATGATGCTGTTAAGGATCTAGATTTCCCCATAAGGGCTCTCTCTCTCTCTCTCTCACACACACACACACACACAGTTTCATCTATGTTGCAACTCCATTGCTTGTTTATTTTTTCTTAACCTTCACCTTTAACTGTGTTATAAATTGCATTTACCAGGGAAACTACCAAAACAACGGCAGTTGCACAATTCCCAATGGGGAATGATATGCCCTGCAGAAACTCCTGAAGGACAAGTGAGTTTGCTGCATAATATAGAACTCTGCGTTATAATTTGCATCTTTTTCTACTTACATTTGTGTGTCATCTGGTGTTACATTAGGCTTGTGGACTGGTAAAGAACCTTGCCCTGATGGTGTATATAACAGTTGGATCAGCAGCATATCCCATTTTGGAATTTTTGGAAGAATGGGGTACTGAGAATTTTGAGGTGAGTATTTTGACTTTTTTATGTGTGGATGTTATAATTTTCATTAGCTTCGTTTTACAATTTTCCTTTTAATTTAGGTCAGAACAACTTTCAAAAAGAGGTTTGATTGACCATCAGAGTGTAGTATAAACTTTCAGATACATGTATCAACAGATTCACAAGGACCAACAAATCAAAAACTAGGTTCTTACTGATCAAATCAGAATAAAAAATATATATATGCAATTCAAAATTTGATTAATACACAATTTTGAAGCCTATAAGAATACAAAAATTAGAAGAAACAAGTCTGCTAATGTCTCTACTAGCATGAATTAGGAACAACCCAAATGGGTGCTGCTTGAATCTTCTCCCAATCATCTTCATCAATCAATTCTATACTCTGATTCTCCATGTCAAACCTGCCTGTGTCATGACCATACATGTCATTCTCAGCCAAAACATCACTATAGTAATCATCAGTGAAATAAATCGAATTCCCTTTACACGATGGAAAACTTTTTGCTGAATGTGACACGGATTGATTCCGACCCAAAAACAACACCAGGTCATCGCCTAATGATGCCACTTGTACCCATTTTTTCTGACCGAAATGCAGCTTGTAAACATGAAATAGCTTTGTCAGGTAAGGGCAAATCCAGCATTGGTTCTCTTCATCAAGAAGGTCTGCCTCGTGAACAACTACACCGTCCCATCTAACATGATTCCCAATATACCTCACAATAAGCAGAAGATCACCCTTTGATTCCACTATGTAACTTTGAATTGTATAAAGATCTCCAAGAGAATTTTCAAATTCCACCTTTTTCTCAGGAAAAATAGGCTCAATCTGCATCTTTTTTACAGGGACAGAGTTATTGAAATCCCAGATTTCAACTGAAGCTGTTTCACCCAAAGCAATAATATGATCATGGTGGGATATTATATCACAGTAGGCTTGATGTGCACCATCCAGGGCAGTCCATTCATTGTCTCCACACTTCCAAAAGGCAAGCTTTCGATCAATTACACCATATATTACCCCTACCCAAAAGTTGTTCTTACTGTGACTTGGGTATGATGAGAGTACAACTTTCTTAATATCCTGGACAAAGAAGCAATGAAGGCTTGTTTTGCAAATTTCAAAAAGGGGGAGTTGAATCCTAGCCCCCAAGAATGGACTAAAGATATGAGGGAATGCTTCGTGGTCCAAAAAAATCAGCCACCCATGGGATGATCCTTTGCAATTACCCAAGTTTTCTGGTATATTCATCATCTGCTTGTACACTTTTTTCTCGGTAAAATTGTACAAGCAACGGCTATTTTTTTTGCCTTGATCTGGACCAGGAAGCAACAACAACGGTTGATCAAACAGGGGACTCTCTAGAGATGATTTTCTGGCTTCTGCAACAGAGCACCAAGAACGACAGACTGCGCCGGCACTAAGCAAGTCGCCGACAAACAATCTGTTCAGAATTGACTCCCACAATTCGATTGGAAGTTCAGACCAGTTTGGTGATGGCGGTGATGAATCTGATTCTGAAGATGTTTTTGTTTTTTTGATGCGATGACCCAAATAGGCTTTTTTGGAAATCACGGCCATGTCTAGGCTTCAATCGATGTCCGAACAAGAGACTTGCAGAGATGATCAAAATAATTTCTGGTGGTAGCGTATATGTTGAGGGGTTAGGCTTGAAAGGGTAGGGTTTGAGGGTTTAGTTTCTGTTAACAATAGAGTGTGTATATATATATATATGCGCGTGTCTGAAAGTATACTGGTATAGGGAAGTTCTTGAGTTGTTGTGAATAAGAAACAATAGAGTCGTATGCGAAAAAGACGCTCTGAGCAAAGATGATCAAAATAGGAAACTAAAGTTGAGTGTGCATGTGTTAAAGCCTAAAGGCGGCGTGTGTATATATAGATGTTAAAGGCGGTGGCGGCGTGTCTATATATAGATGTTAAAGGCGGTGGGCCCAATTTTGGCCCAATAGTTCCGTTTACCCTACCCATCTGATTCTGCCACCACTCAAATCCAACTCTATATATATATATATATATATATATATATATATGTATATATTTATTTATTGCTGGAGTATCCGGTGTTCTTGCCACTAATCCACAATTCACAAGCATTCGCTTATCTGTCTTTACCATCTAAGTTCTCATTATAATTTCAGGCACTCAAATCTCTTTTATTTTTTTCATTTCATTGTACAATTCATATAATAATAATAATAATGAAGAATTCGATTATCTCAACTTCAGAAAATGTTCGACTCTTCAGTTCCAAATCTTTTTAAACGTTAATCTTTTTTTTTTACATCGTAATATTAATTTATCTCGCTACATTTTAGAAAATGAACTATAGATAATCACTGAGGTAAGATGTTAAGCATGTATGGTACACTTAGATATGTACAAATATTATACATTCTATACAAATGGTCAAGAAAAGTTGATTTTTATTTTTTTTTTAAAAATATATATATATATATTTAGTCTCTTCTTTCCAAAATAAATGTCTCTTTTTGGGAATATAAATTTTAAAAATGATAATTTTTAGTATTTTATTATTATTATTATTTTTTTTGTATTAATAGTGAATGAATTATCAAATTTATCTATAATCGGCTGGGAGATGTGATGGTGTACTTTTCATAAGTTCAATTCAAGAAAGTTAAATCGGTAGTGTTACAAAAAAAAAAAAAAAAAAAAAAATGTACTTTGACTTTTCCAAAAACAAATCATCGCCTAATGATGCAAGTTCTACCCATTTTTTGTGACCGAAATCCAGCTTGTAAACATTAAATAGCTTTGTCGTGTAAGGTTCTCTTCATCAAGAAGATCTGCGTCGAGAACAACTACACCTTCCCAGTGAACATGATTCCCAATACACCTCATAATAAGCAAAAGATAAATTCAAACGAGATGAGTCCAAATGATAAATGAACAAGCTTAAACGTAACACTTGAAGCAGCGCCCAATTTTGGCCATGTACTTCAGTTTGCTTGCAATTAGACAATCTACCAAAATATATATATTTGGTAACCGGGGTATGTGGGATTTTTGCCCGACTATTCTCCAAAATACTGTCCAAAGCGAACCTTCCACATAAGTCGGGTAAAGTTGAGGTTTTTCACCTATACGAGTGACTTTAAAAAATTGGTTGCACTTTAGGGGAGTTAAACCTTAAAGCATAATTTTTATTGAGGCACCAAGTCTAAATGACTTATCACTCAAAATTAAAGATTTGATTTGATTTTTCCCTCGTCCAAGAGTTTTTTCATGCACCATATATTAGGTAAATACTCGAAGTATATAAGTATTACACATATTTATTATATGTTGTGTAGCATTGGCCCATTAAAACTTATAGGATAATGAAATACATTTTTTGGTTGAATATTGTGATTCACATAATTAACTTTGTACGCCATTGAATTTCACTTGACCGTCATTGCACAAGAAGTTCCAAAAAATGGCATTAAAAGAAATTGTAAATTAGGAACGGCCAATTGCTACAATGGGTCCTTATGTAAATGTCGTAGAATTAAAAAAAAAAATTATAATTTAGTTAATGTCAATGGAAGTTAAAAAGCAAACATATTTTACTTCTAAAAATTTGGAGTTGGGATGTGCTACCATGGATCTTTATGTTAATGTTGTGGAATTAATATTTTTATAAATTGAGTCATTGAAAGTTAAAAACCAAGTATATTTAACCTTTAAAAGCAATTGTAAAATTAATAACTAATTTTGTAAAATGATCAAAAATGACATTATTGAAGGACGCCGGCAATGGACAAATTAAGATAAAAATAGAAAATAGAAAATAAAAATTAAAGTATAAAAGAAAAGTAAAGATAAAAATAGAAAATAAAAAAAAGAAAATAAAGTATAAACTAAAGAAAACAAATCTGCTCTAAACTCCAAAAACCAGTGCACACTGATATTGAGATTTTTTTTTTTTTTTTTTTGGTACAAAAAAATAAAATAAAGATAAACTATTAGCAGAAAACAATCAACTGAAATCTCAAAAAATTCAAATCCTTGTTTTACAAATTGTCAAAGTTTCAAAAAAAAAAAAAAAAGTTTATATATAGAGAAAAAAGTTTCAAAATATATATAAAGTAACGTGCACATAACAATCATATACTATGATATTAGTAGTAATTTTTTAATTTTTAATTTTTAATTTTTTGTGTTTTCGTGTTTTTATTTTTATTATTTTTTTGGGATTGGTGTAATTTTTTAGTTTTTTAATCATTTCATTTTAATATTTATATCGCATTGTTAATTTATCAATAAAAAGAAAAAATTCCAACTGCGTGCTAATTTTAGAAATTCACTATGAATAAATGTTACCCATGCTACACCTAGATATATTGTAGCTAAGTCATATAAAACAAGTACACAATACATTTTTATACAAAAGAGTCAATATTTTACCGAAAATTTTAAAATAAAACGAGTCAATAAAATTTGACATTTTCGATATATATAATTTATACAATAATCTAGAGGGGTTTGCCCTTTCGGGTAAAATTATTAGGTATTCTATTCAAAAAATAAAAAAATAAAAATATTATTAGGAAATTTATTAGTAGAATTATGGGAAAGTTAAATTTGAACTCTCGTTCACTCAAATTTTTTATTATCCTTTTTTTTGTAATTTAATAATAAAAGTACCTGAATTTTTATTTTTTTTTATTTTTTTTTATTTATTTATTTTTTTTTTTTTCTGAATGGTCATAATACTTGATTCTCTTATCCAAGTTAACACTAATGCCATTCCACTTTTGAAGTGTTGCCATTTTTCAAAATTGAGGGTGCGTTCATAAATAAGTGAAAAAATTGTGATATTACATGAAAATTATATTAAAACTAATATTATTATTATTATTTGAAAAAAGAATGTAGTGTTAAGTGTATACAAGAACCCACGGTTTGACGGCCCACATGACCGGTGTGATCCAACCTGAAAGCTTTTCTTTCTAGGCTCGAAAGCCTGGCTCAATTTTTATCTATATTTTCGGCTTGATTGTATATAAATAATCTCAATTCCGATTAATGTTTTTTTATAGTGATAAAACATATCTTTCGAATTTTGAAGATTTCGAATAGAAAATATATGAGTAGGAGTGTAGATCTTACCACATAATGTTAGAGTGACGGAGCCCACTCCCCCTACTGTCTCACGCGACACCCTTCCGTTTAGATTTTACCACATAATGTTAGAGTGATGAAACCCACTCCCCCTCACTGTCTCACACGACACCCTTCCATTTATCTTTCAAATTTAAAAGTTGTATCATTTTTTTAGACAAGAATCAAACTATTTACACTCAATTTCTCAATAAAATTCTCAGGGGTTCAAACTCCTTTCATGTTTGCATTGTATTATGCAATTATTTCAAATTTAATAATAATGAAGAATTTGATTGCTTAATTTTAAGAATATTTGACTCTCCACTTTCAAATTATTTGCATTGTATTATGCAATTATTTCAAATTTAATAATAATGAAGAATTTGATTGCTTAATTTTAAGAATATTTGACTCTCCACTTTCAAACTATGTTCAAGAATGTTATTAACTCTCCGCTTTCAAATTATTTTCAAGAATGATATGAGTGTGTGAGTTTTTTTTTTAAAAAAATAATAATAATGAAAATAAAAAGATGTTAAACATGTTATAACTATACATAAAAATATATACATAATACATTGTAGTCGAATGAGTCAATGAAAATTGACTTTATTTAAAACATGAAAAATATATGAGTCCGGTGCAAAAATAAACAAGACACCTTAGGAGCCCTTCAACAGATTCGTAACCTTGAAATTTACACAAAATTCAGAGCCGAGACTAACATCCTTTTAGCACACAAGAAGGAAGAGGTAAGGAGAGAGACACAGGATCCTATTGCCTCAACACTATAGATTGAGTAATAAATCCCTGTAGACAGAGGGATTATAATATATTTTGGTATATATTATAATCAGTCAAATTGACATCAAATTTGAAGAAATTTGAAATTTATAATTTTTGCTGCTGTCAGAGCAATTATTTAAATAAAAAAATTATATCTGCTACTTTTGAGTGTACAATATGACTAACTATCAGTGCACATTGCTTTGACCAGGCCATGACTCCATGCTTATCCTATTATATTCTTATATGTAGTACTACTAACAAGAGTCTTTGAGGTGATGTATCTTTTGTCATTTAAGTCACAATCTTATAACATTATCTTAAATTATGTATTTATTAATTTTTGTTAATTAAGGGTCCATTTTAGAACATAGCACTAAAAATGTGACACAAAATTTTCATAACAACTAAAGTTTTTCAGAGTCAATTGAATAAAGAGACTTGACACAACACATAGCACCAAATGTGTGAAACAATTGATGGATCGATTTTGTTAGGGTTTGACTCTTCAGACCAAATCACAAGAACCCTAAATCAAAGGACATGGATAAACTTTTGATGGGAGCATTTTTACAAACAACTCGTGCAATGAACCCTAAATCAAAGGACATGGATAAACTAAATTAAAATCCCGAATCAAATTAATACTCCATCTATCCCAAAAAAAAGTCTCTTTTGGGTAATATAACTTTTTAAGAATATAATTTTTTATGTTTTTTATTATAGTGGTATGAAATGAATTCTCTAATTTGCCCCTTCTAAAATTTTGTCTTATTTGACCACTTCAAAAGAAAAAGAAAAAACTTTAACTGGGAGCTTCTTAAATGTTGGCGCCAAATGTACAATATTTTTAACTAAATTAAAATAAATGGCGGTTACATACAAATTCAAAGTGAAGAGCTTTTTTAGTGTAATGTAGAGTATACACTCCAACCAAATCATATGCTCTGCTACTCTTATTCGAAAA